ATGAACAGCTGTGAACGAATAGCTGTTGGGACATTTATGCCTGTTCTTAAAATAGAGTGGAGTTCCATAGACAACAAATTTACGGTGCTGAGGTCACACGCACACACATACACACAAGTCTAGTTTGTAGATGTAATCCAGTTTGCGTCTGACTTAGAGAGTGATAACGGAGTACCGAGGACACAGCTTTCGTTCCATTAAGCACTCATCAGCGATATGTACTTTCATTCCTGTGAGTAATGTTATATTCAGACTGTAACTAAAATAAATCGCCCACAGCTCTAAATATTGCAGCGTTTTCCACTAGGCTACAAAGTTACGCCCGCTACAGCTTATGTAACTGGTATAACTTGTTATCTGTAGGTTATTGTTCCTTCATACTGACTGTTATTCTGGACCCTGTCGATTGATTTGTTTTGAAAAATTAATTTCTATGAAGATACTTCTGTCTTCCCTGAAGACTCATTACTGTATCAGTTGATTACGGATGGCTAGTAGTGGGATCTGTTACTTGGGCTTCGTCCCACTTGAGACTCGTCAGCCAGGTTTACCTATGTCGCATTGATTGATGGTGTTTCCAGTGACAATCTGATGCAGTTCCCATTGCTTCAAATGTCAACGGGTTATCCTTTAAGCTAATAATCCCGTCAATCTCTTCATCTGTCACCGGTGTTGTTGACTGATGTCTTTGGTTTCCCATTCGATATGATTGAGTCTGAGTAGGACGTGCCTAATAACACGATGAGATACTTGGACTGAATACGAGTATTGCGTCTATTCTCCCCCAAACCTGATACTTTACTGAGCCACGAAGATCAGAAGAAAAAAGACATGCATGCGACTGACTTAATGAAAACCTTTTTATTTGACGAAAAACAGTATTTATATACAACTTCTAATTAGAAAATGATGTCGCTAATACGTTGACATTATACAGAGATGTAATTCACACCCGGGTAGCTAACACCTAACTATTCGTATTTCCTTGTATTATACAATATTATTTACGTAAGCTGACAAAACGGCCTATGTTCCTGTTTACCTGTCAAGTTGGGATTAAAGATTTCATGCTGTGTGAAGTGTTCGAATTGCTCAACATTGACTATCTGTCTAAAATATTGTCACTTATGCGAATCATAAACAACAATTACAACAATTCAGTTTTTGATAATTTGTTTGATTGTGGCTACCAGAGGAATCCAGGACACTCGTTTCGCCCTATTTGAGACTCATCAGCTGAATGTACGTGCACTCCAGTGAGTGATGTTGTTCCCACTGAGACTCGACCCCAATACACATCGCTCTAAATGCCAAAGCGTTATCCACTAAACGCGTGTCCTGGATCCCTATGTTAGTCACAACCAAATTTATTGTATTATTTATTTTCCCCTTGAGTTCCTAGCGGAACATAGGGCTTCAGTAGTATGCCTCCGTTGCACTGTCTTCCCTGAGGTCATTTCAACCTGGCTGCACGACTGACCACAATCTTTCATTTCCCTCTCACACTATCTCCTTAATGTCATCACCCTCGGACGCCCAACTTGTCGTTTCCCCTTTGGATCCCACTTGAGCGCCTGATCTGGCCTGTCGTGTGATGTCCTCAAATGGTCTTCACAGTATATGCCCAATCCATCTTCACTTTCTTATGCATATATGTTGTGCGATAGGTTCTTGGTTGGTTCTTTGCCAGCCACAGCTCCTTGTTACTTATTCTTATTATTCTGTCCATTTGGTCGGTCTTACGTCTTGAGTGAGCGTAGGCGGTAACTGTTGATAATGTATGTCTGCAGTTGCTTGTTGGAAAAGCTTTTCGTAACGCGTCGCAAAGTCTCTCAGCCATCACATAGAATCATTGACTTACTTGACCTTACTATTGAAAATGCGGTTCTTGTTCACGCTTTGTGCTGAATGGGGTGCAGTAGATCTCCACATTGATTTCAGATGAATGAAAGCCTGATCCTGGTCTGATCCTGGCTGCTTTGACATCCTCATCTTTACCGCCGGCTACGTAGGTAGGTGAAAGGGACTACTTCCTCTAGACTTCTCCCGTTGATGGTGTTTGGTATTTCTTATCTTGCTGTTTGGGTATCCTCATCACATCTGTCTCCTCTACACTCACCTGAAGTCCCGTCTTCGTTGTCTCTTCTGTCAACTTGTTAGTTTCTGCCTGTAGGTCTTCGAGTTTTCTCGACAAGACTTTAGATATAAATCATGATCGACGAAATCCAAATCTTCTTCTGGGGTCTTTTCATCGGTCGTGCCAGCGTATGCCGCTCTTCTCGCTCCTCACGGTTTGTTGCATGATCCAGTCCAGTCTAGCACGATCAGAAAGATGATGGCTGATATTAGGGGGAAACCTTATCTTACTCCTGTCTTCACTCAAAAGACGTCACTGAGCTCTCCATTGTGAATCACTTGACATGTAGCACCAAACAGCATAGCATATAGCTGTTGAATGAAGTTGATAAAGGTTTGTGGCACTAAAAAAGTAGTGTTGAAGCAGCTACCAGATTAGTTCTCTGTCGACGCTATCGAAGACCTTTTCAAAGTCGATAAAGGTGATGTACAGTTGAGTTGACTGCTCTGTTCTATAATGATGTGTAGTGTAACGTTGCAATTTGATCCGCACATGATTTGTCCTTCCTGAAGTCACCCAGACTGTTGATACATATATATTAGAGATAAATTTTGTTATATATTTTATCCTCATAATATATATATCTCAGTTTTATGGTGGAAAGTAAATGCTCTGAAATTAATTGCCAGCTACAATTTTTATTATTATGCAACTGAGAGACCACTTACATCGATTTCCAGACTTCGTTAACCAGATCTCAGTGACGTTAGGAGTAAACGTTCGCAAAATTCACCTTAAATTGAGTTCATGAGAATGATTCACAGAGTTAAACTTCTCACATTAATTGAATGTGATTAAATCACCAATATATCTTAAATGGAAGAATATGAAATTAAATTCGTAAAATATTTGAACTCACCTCGCCGCGGGGATACGGTCATCACACAGATATTAACAGGACCTCCAATATCGTATGTCTTACACTAAAAAAACAATACCACGTATAGCTCACCAACGCCTGCTCAGCATACCTGAGGGTGTTCCAATAAAATTGATCAAACCTGAACTTTACATATAGAAGGCACGCATTCGAGCGGTATTTCTCCATTGGTTCTCATATCCGGAACTCCAGTTGGTATTCATTGAGGACTGAACTCAATTAGAGAACAAGCCTGAGACCTCCAGTCTCTTCGAGAGCTACGATGTCACAACCCACTGGTCCATATTTTCAGACGTCTTATAGTTGATGAGACATCTGTTCGTTCTCTGTTGCCTTCCCTACTTACAGTTTTTTCTTCTACCATCCACAACACTTTTTATTGGTTGTACAGGTATTTTTCTTCCCAAACTTACAACTTATAACATTCAAGGTCAATAAAAATACTAACTAAACATTCGTTAAATATTCGAATATGCTTTTTACTTCATGAAGTTATTTGAAGATGTTATCAAGCCTGATATGGAACGTTCACAACAAAATATCAAAGTTCAGAGAATACAAAGTCACCATTATTTTCAACTATATTCTATGCCTGTGTAAACGCTGAGTGTACATCCACAGAGAAAACACATTAACAGACAGCCTAATTTTGGTAAGTCGGATCTGGTATTCAAACAGTCTACTTCAATAGTACAATTGCTTGTATCATATCGTCGTTGATTGAAGCGAATTGATCGGTCTCTATTGGCATATGGGCATATGGGCTCCTGCGTGGACGTCTTGATATTACCTGTGTTTTAATTATGTATAGTAATGATGGTAGTATGGTAGATAACGCTGTGGCGTTTGAAGCAGTCGCTCCCGAATCGATTCCCGGTGGGAACAACACTTACTGGGAGGCAGGTATATCCAGCTGACAAGTCCGAAATAGGACGAAATGTGCATCCTGGATTCCACTGCTAGCCGCTATCCATCAGTCCACTTCAATGTTTAGTCTCTGTCAAATTTACAAAGTCTTTCTTCGGTCGTCACATCTAGCTTGGCCACTGAAGACTGATTATTCAGATTAATAAACACAAATTCGGGAGAGACACTAGTATGTTCTCTCTCTTCAGACCAGTCATCCAACATAGGGTATTTTCCATGTCACTCATATCCGGAACTCCAGTTGGTATTCATTGAGGACTGAAATCAATTAGAGAACAAACCTGAGACCTCCAGGTCTCTTCGAGAGCTACGATGTCACAACCCACTGGTCCATATTTTAAGACGTTTTATAGTTGATGAGACAGCTGTTCGTTCTCTGTTGGCGTTAAACATGCGCGCAGCTGGAAAGTCCCATACGACGACGAGACAACTGTCCCTACTATCTAATCAGATTACGATGCATACAATACACCAAGTTAGGAACCTCTGTCGACTTCATTTCACATAGTTACAAGATAATTATATTGATTAACTGTAAGAATAATTTTCATTGGAATGTTAAGTAATTATTTTTCTGTATCTACTATCTTCTTCTTCACCAAAACGGTCTTGTTTACATATTCTCTGCCTTCTCTACTACTGACCCCATTGGAATCAACTCAGATGTACCAATCTGTAGCAAACTAACTAGTCAGTCATTACATAGTTGGCAGATGTACAAATTATCAAGGTTATTGGTCTATAAATTTACTTACAATTATTTTTTTCTCAGTAATAAAAGTATAGTCGGGTTTTACTCATAATTTACGCTTCCTTCAAACAATTAACTTAATGGATATGTAATAGATTATTTAGTTGATTGAATTTCATTGTGATACTGTGAAATAATCCATATTGAGGATGACTTCTTCAGATATCTGTCAATATAGATCCCTTAAAATATTCCTAATAGTATCCAATGCATTGAATCTGGTAAATCATTTTAATCATTATTCATTTAACTTATTTATAATGATTATTATTATTCTTTAGGCTTTCGGTATCATCTTAATTCTAATGGGAAGTTATGTACACCTATTTCTTAGTGAATATTTAGATGATATGCCAGTTCATATGTTATCATTGACATTTATTATGATGGCATTTGGTTGTCTACTCTTTTCAATTGGTAGTATAGGCGTATTTGGTGTTTGGTCTGGTCGACGTACAATTATCCTCATAGTCAGTTGACATAGATTGATTTCATATCCTCTCTCTCTCTATATATATTTCTTACAGTATGCAGGACTTTTAACAGTTGCAGTTTTGAGTGGAATAACCATTACTACTATTACTCTGATTTTACGGAAAAAGGTAAACGATACAACATAACATCTATCTGTTAATTACAATTTAATCATTTTATCTAGGTGGGAATGTTGTTTAAAAAGCTCTTCAAGATGCTCTTAATCAATATACTAAAAAGAATAGTCAAGGACGTTATATGGACGCAATACAGAAACAGGTAATACATTATTACGAGTAAACATCTTTTATAATGATTGTTATTGTAGCATAAATGTTGTGGTGTCCATTCGCCTATTGATTATACGCAAACTTATGAAAGTCCACCGGAATCATGTTATGCTGAACGACAAGATCAACCGTTTACCAAGGTAAATTTGATAAATTCTAATACTCAATGAACCATTAGAATTTTATTCCATATATTCATACTACTAGTGAAACTATAGAATTTAGCTGTCCTTGAACGACTTCAAAATAACCTTGAACGCACCAATAAGGGGACAGTTGTTTCTGGTTTGAGTTTTAATACTGGAATAATGGGAAAATCAAATAAACATTTTTTATTAGCAATCCTTAGGAACGCATCTAGTTTTTCAAATGCTTACTAGTGGTTAAAGTAGAAGTACGAATGATAGACATATTCATTTATGTGAATGCATAACAAAAAAATCTTGGTTGTATTGTGTTCTCTGAGCTGGGTTGTTTAGTCGTGAAGCTTTCATCGTCATTCTAGGAAATATCATCACCACTAACTTCAGTATGGAGTGAGCTGTCAGTATCATTACGTGAGTGATTTAGTAGCTTGCCCTGACCAACTGATCTATGGTTGGTTGTTTCCACTGCTTGTTGTGTCATTCACTCACTGCATAAATCCTCCTGTTGGCTGTTTCTCTGCTTCATCTCTCACCTTTCTGTCGTTTATCATTTTTCTTATTGATTGGTAGACTGGGTCTATGTCTATACATCTATTGATTACTAACTGACTGACCTGAATGACAAGCTTCTAGGAATTTAACAAGAACAAGGCATGTATCAGCGAAGAAGAAGCATTTCTTTTCAACGACTTCATTATCAAGCTGTGCAGTAATATGTATACTCAGTAAAGTGACAGATAATTGCACGGTCAATATGGGAAATATACAATCGGTGGAGGGGTGGTGGTATTTGTTCAAGTGGAAGTGACAGGAAATGCATCACTGAATAAGGAGGAATGAATTGATAACAAGTGGTGAGATAAGCGACAAGTGCTGTCAAAGAATTGTAAAACGGTGATAATTAAGCTGAAACATGTACAATTGGTCAATTAGTAAGGAATGAATTGATATTAAAGAGTGAAATATGGTTCAAGTGTTGTCAATGAATACAAAACTGGTAATGATGATGACAATGATAAAAGAGAAGTATACCAAAGTGAACTGAAAATTGACAAAATCAACGAAATGAATTGTTAAGGCCAAGGTAGAGAAAGTGGTTTCACAAAACATTTTTGAATGTAAAGTTTCAGTTTTTGTTTATGTATAGCTAATGCATTCAGCTATACATAAGTAGTGGAAGCGTAGGAATTCTCTGATATTCGCTGTGTTTCCTCTCTCCCTCCAAGATATCTACATCGTCAAAATTCAATTCATGCACATAGTTGTTTTCCACTTGCACAGAAATCAGTGATGAAATGTCATGTAATGACGTTGAATAGTCAATCGGCGTTCATGTAAGTGACGAAGGTGAATGTGGGCGACCACTTTGTCCAATCTAGTGTTGACTACAGTTATCGCAGTTGATTTTGCACATGATATTCGCTTTGTCTTCTTTTGGTTGTTGCATCCTCCGATCTGCATAATCTGATCTGAGGGGATTTGTTGGTTTATCAGCCACACCAATTTAACCAAGTGGTCTCAGTGGGCTTTCCGTGATCTCTGATATATTCTTTATGTATGGCAGGATGATCCGCTTATTGATTTGTGTCGATGACTTTGTAGTTGATGATGTGTTGGACAGACATAGTCTGATAAGTCATTGTGGGTAGCCGTTCTTCCTTAGGATTGACATAAAGTAATTTTCTTCGTTTCTCCTTGAAGTTGTTGTGCTGCAGTGTGTTGACGCTTTTTTCAATAGAGTCTGCACACAACTAATTTTGTATGTTGTTGGGTTGTTACTATTATAGTTGAGCATTTGATCTGTGTGTATTGACTTCCTGTCTATTTGGATTTTGAGCTTTCCATCTCCACTTGAATTTAATGTTATTGAAAAGTTGGTGATCAAACTGTGAGTGTTTTCTTTATCTTCTCTTCTTTGAATGATGACAAAAGTGTCGTGCACATAACGAATCGGGTTCAGAGTTTCGGTTTAATCACAGGTAGAATGATGGCTTCAAGTTTCTGCATCACTGCTTTTGTAATAAGTCCGGATATCGGTGATCCCGTTGGGCTTCCTTTCATCTGTTTGTAAATCATGCCAGTGATTTGGAAGCATGTTGCCTGATAGAGGTCGGTGAGTTCTATCTTGCTTGGACACTTACGTTTTGTGCGTTGTGAAAGGCTTGTGTCTTCATTGAGCAAGAGGGACATAGTTTCCTTGACTAACTATGTTTCGATGGATGTGTATAGTGCTATGACGTTGAAGGATACCAGTAGTTCGTTGTTTTCCGTATCACTCCTTTTGATGTTTTCTAGGATTTCTGTTGGTGATTTGATCGAATATCCACATGATTGAACGAGATGTTTCAGTTTTCTCGAAAGTTTTCTTGATATGTAGTATGTTGGAGTTCCTGGAAGTGAGGCTACTGGTCGTAGAGGGATGTCTGATTTGTGCAGTTTTTGTGTGCCGTAGAACCGAGGGAGGACAGGTCCATTCGACTTCATACGTCATTTGTCTTACTTTGTTATTTTTTCCTCTTTGAAGAGTTTGTTCAAGGTTTTATTAATCTGGTTGTCAAACTTTTGAATAAGGTTGGTTTCAAGTGGTTGACATACATTTTTGTCTTGCAGTAACTTCTTTGTCTTCTTGATATAGTCTTCTTTGTCCATGACTACTGTAATGCGTTGTTTGTCTGCTGGAAGTATAACGATATCTTTCTTATTTTTTAGCCTTTTTAATGTTTTCTATTCTTGGGTGTTGTTTTGAGCATGATATCTCTTCTGCCTGATCAATGGTACGATTGTTTGGCGTATCTCTTGTTGAGTGACTTCATTTAATTCTAATGTTTTAAGTGAAAATTCTAATGCCGCAAGAAATTCTGCTTTGGAGATATCTTTTGTGTTGTAATTCAATCCTTTCTAAATCAGAAGTCCTTCTATTTTTGTTAGTGTTTGTTTTGATAAGTTGGCAACCTTTTGAACTATGCAGTAGATGTAAATCAATTTTCATGTGGTCCCTTATCGCCTCTAAATTAGTTGGAAAAGAAAAATAGACACCAGGGATATGAAATTAGATATCAGGTAATGCTGATCTGTACAAATGAAAGTTAAAAGGCAGAATTAAGTGACAAAGTAGCAAACGAACAGCAAGCTGGTTCTGAGCAGAGTACATATAGGCTTTGTTTAATGCCATAGGACTTATTGGGTGCTATGAACTTTCTTGGAATTAGGTGGTAAATTGTATGAAGTGTTATTATACTAAAATATGCTACAACGTGGACTTTTGTTTATAATTTTGTCATTTGTAAGTAAATGCAGAGACATTAGAAACCCTGTAGAATTACTAAATAGTCAAAGACGATCGTATGAGAAATAATTCCCCTCATCAATCTTTTAGTACTGTTATGTACTCACCAAATCCCTATTAGTAGCCAATTAGCAGTAAGGGAGATGGCAGAGAAATACACTGTGTGCTATCTGATAGTTGTAATTTCCTGTTGCCATGGAGTGACTGTCGTGATCTAGCGACCCACTGGAGCGTTTGAAGCGGTGGGTACTGGGTTCGGGTCTCGGTGGTCCAGGTACATCCAGCTGACGAGTCTCAGATAGGACGAAACATGCAACCTGTATCCCATCTTTGTTATTGGTGAGAATTATGCTTCCGTTATTCAAACATTAGCTAGTGAACGTGTTTCGCACATGAATTTTCCCGCTCAGCGTTTCATTCTCTCTTCTACTAATGGTAAACTCTAGAAAGTTGAAATGATGATCTTTGTTCAATGTAATGTGCTATGAATAAAGTCTACTTTGAGTTGTTTGAGGTTGAAGAAAAGTGACTAGATAAAGAGATGAACTTTTGATGGCTTACTCTTTCGTGAGATGGATTGTTTAATCATGGAGCTTTCACCATCATTCTAGGCAACATCATCAGCATAAACTTTACAAAGAAGTGAACTATAAGGTTTTCATTACAAGTTATTTAATAGCTTGTCCTGATGATCTTGTGTGTGATTGGTTATTTCTGTCAAGATCTTGTTATTGTCCCCACATTTATTTTGATTGGTTGTCTTGATGACCGTCTCATTGTTTCTTATTAATCGATAAATTCGATCATTCCCGATATACTCGTCGATTGTTGACTGACCAAGCTTCTAAAAATTCTCTTACATTCTTTGGATTTCGTCTACCTATCCAGGATATTCGCATTTTCCCAGTCCAATTCATGTCCACAATTGTCTGTTTGTATGCATTGATATGATCGAAGGTTCACATGACGCTTCACTCTTAGTTGATGTTTATGTAAACGGATAAGAAGAGAGTGACCACTTTGTTCGATGTAGTGTTTATTTTGTAGATAATCGGACATCGAACAAAGTGGTCACTCTCTTCTTATCCGTTTACATAAACATCAACTAAGAGTGAAGCGTCATGTGAACCTTCGATCATATCAATGCATACAAACAGACAATTGTGGACATGAATTGGACTGGGAAAATGCGAATATCCTGGATAGGTAGACGAAATCCAAAGAATGTAAGAGAATTTTTAGAAGCTTGGTCAGTCAACAATCGACGAGTATATCGGGAATGATCGAATTTATCGATTAATAAGAAACAATGAGACGGTCATCAAGACAACCAATCAAAATAAATGTGGGGACAATAACAAGATCTTGACAGAAATAACCAATCACACACAAGATCATCAGGACAAGCTATTAAATAACTTGTAATGAAAACCTTATAGTTCACTTCTTTGTAAAGTTTATGCTGATGATGTTGCCTAGAATGATGGTGAAAGCTCCATGATTAAACAATCCAGCTCAGAGAACACAGCACCACTAAAATTATCCTTCTCCATCAACTTAAAGAGAGGAACGCTTATTTTGCTGAAAATCAATTTCTTTCCGCTTTGATAAATCTTAATAATACAACAGACTGTCATTCCCTTTTACATATAAACATAATTTTACTTATATCATTTTATATTGTCTACAGGGTTGTGCCAATCAACTTACAGATATGGTTCAACTTTACTTGCTAATTATCACAATATTAATAATCATTTCAATACCAATTGAAATCTGTTCAGTCATTTGTGCTGTACTGTTGTTGAACAAAGTGAAGTCAATCCCTTGGCGTATGCGTCTGGCTTATTGTTGAAGTAAAACAGGATACATCGGGAAAGTATCCTGTTTATCTGTTTAACAGTAACTCCAAAGTGTTTATATAATACTTAAATTTAAAAAAAAGATATTTGTTAAGTCATTTTTAATGAGTATGAGAAACATATTGAAATGATTTGTTCCGCAGATTATGGAGGGTAAATCTTCAGTGTTCGATTCACTTCAATCTTTTCTTGTGGATACTTCATCATCACTCCTGGGGAACATACTCGGAATTGATTTCATGAAGTAGTGAAAACTATTTAAAAATTATACAAATGTTTAAGTGGAGTGATATCTGACCTTGAATGCTGTCCAATTGTAAGTTGAGAAAAAAAATTCATTAAAACAAACAATGTGAGCAAAGAAATATTTCTTTTCAATTAGTTCCTCATGAATGGCTCTACACTAACATATATTTCATTTTCAAAATGTATAATTACATACTAATCTAATGGTGAGAGTTGTTTAATGAAAGGTTGTCAATCTCAAAGTATCAAGAAGGTAATAATTGATCAGGTAATTCAGACAATTAACTAAAGCATAGATTATTTATAGTAGAAAGATTTTGTGAGATTTCAAACAGGTTCTTACACAAATGATACTTTGTATAATGGTAACTTAAGAGCGAAAATGAAGTGTTACGTAAACCGAGCCTTTGGTATTCATTCAGAGATTTCATCAGCCACTGAGCCACCATGCCTGATCCGACTTCTCAGGTAAGTGAAGTGGTTGACACACTCAACCACTACACTCTCTATTGTTAGCCGAGGCACTGTCGAAGACCAATCTTGAAGCAGCAAGTTGCATTTAGGTGGCGAGAAAAGCATCCCAAACATTCTCAAATTCCCACCCAAATTGTTCAGAACACTCTGCATCTTGTCAGCGTCTTCACCTGTCATGTACTTATTCTAGGTCTAACGGAAACTCTCCTTTGATTAGGTCAACCTCTGCGTAATCAGGTGGAGAGAGGAAGACCTCCATGAGAACATGTATGATGAAACTGAATAAGAATGGAGACAGTGGGCACCCTTGACGGACACCACACGATGAGCATAGCTCCCTGGACATCTCATCATAGGCTGTAACACGCCCACAAGTGTTCTAGTGGAGAGCCTTCAATAAGGTGATGTACTCACTCGTCACGCCTTTCAGTGAGAGATATTGCCATAAAACTTCTCGACCAACGGAGTCGAATGCCACCTTCAGGTCGTATAAACGTATAAACTGACCATAAGTTAAAATGGCGCCAATCGTTTTGTGTACAGTCGAGCAACCATCCGAGAGACTACTAAAATTACACTTAGACTTCCTTCTATACTCAACACCAGATTTCACAAAACCTAACGTTTTATTTACCATTGAGAAGGGTAAAGTAATCTTGAGAAAATGCAGATATCTAGATGCTCCATAAATATCTATTCAGTAATCCAGTAAATTCAGTAAATCTTTCATCTCAGAACCAGTCTCAGCCGTTATCCGTATATCTTTTCATGGCAAATTTCTGCCTTATAAACAATGTCTCAAAGTTGGAAAGTCAGCTTGATATGACTATAGAAAAGATATATGAAAGCAAAGTGATTCAGTAAATAATACTCACTGTTTCACTGGCAGAAACACTTAATCAATCGAGTAACTCTAAAGGTTACCATGAAAAGCAATCTAATTCAGCTTATATTTTATAAAAAATTATCTTCCTTGCCTAAATTGAGAAATTTGATTGGTTATTTCTGCTGCTGCTGCTGCTGCTGCTACAGTGGACTTTAGAGGCGAGTAGCTTGAAAGACCACCCTATCAATTGTCGAAATAACTAATCTGGTCTCGGTATTTCATCCAGGAGGGCCTCCTTTCACAAAACAGAGAAAAGCTAATGGTTACCTCATCATTTGTCAGGGTCGCCTCTGAAGTTATTCTTACAATTACTCCCCCTCCTATAGCTCGACTGTGAGTTTGGTTCTTCAGCATAGATTCTAGATTTTATGAATTAGATGTCAGTTGGTTAGAGACAGTCGGCCGCGTGACCTCAATAGCTAAGTGGATGCGTCACTTACCATAACATTGAGTGACCAAGGTTCAAATCTCACACGGAACATGACTCTCCTTGAGATTGCAGATACGCCTTGTTGATGAAAGCCAAAAACGTACGAAACGTAGGTCAAGCAGGTCTTTCTGTTGACTGTCCCCAACCAAAAAACACCTGTCGATGTGCACCGCAATGTACAGCCTCCTAGCCTGGTAGCCACAGAATTCGGTCAGCCCCAGAACTAGACAAAATGAAACTGGCTACTATCCACTGACCAGTAAGTATATTTTATGGTTTACTTTAGAGAAGTGACTTAAAAAACCACCATAGCAACTGGTGAGATAAAAAATTGAGTTTCTTTATTGCAAGAAAAACTGCCTTTCTAAGGCGAATCGCCGAAATCTGACTGGCTATTTCAGCTGTTGCTAAAGTGACCTTTGAAGTCACCTGACCCATTACTCAAGTTTTTTTCAAGCCTGCCTTAATTGACACTGGATGAGGTGATCTGAAATCTGAGTATCCATTATATATATATATATATATTTTGTCCTAGTATGAGACTCTTCAGCAGCATGCACCCACAACCTCGTCCCGCCAGGAATCGAACTGAAGACCTTCAGGTTTCATATCCAACGCGTTAGTCATTCAACCACTGGGCCGAAGTTCAGTGGCCTACAGTTTTCTATTTCCCACGATTGAAGACATAGCGCGATTATCAGTCAAGATCTTTAGTTGTCATACACGTCACTTCCACCCCGATGACTGGACAGTTAGTCTGCCAGCCGTGAAATCTCAAGGATTTTAGTTCGTTCCCGAGACAAGTTGTCGGTACATACTCCTGAAGAGTCCCATAGCAGGACGAAACCATCGTTCGTTGTCAACAGGTTTTCAATATTTCTCAAATGTTGTCAGTCCGTGATGAATACTAACTTAAAAACAAACTCATAATCAACGTCAAATGTGAACGTAGAGAAAACAGAGGTAATGAAGATACCCAACCAATAACAACAACAACAAGCACCAATCACTGTCAACGGCAGAAATCTATAGGAACAAGGTTCTTTCACCTACCTAAGCAGGGAAGTATAGTCTCAGCTGCAGGTGGCGCCAGCAGCACAGATGACGATGTCAAGGCGGCCAGGATCGGAAAGACAGTAAGACAGGACTGCATCAATCTGAAATCACTGTGGAGATCTATTGCACTACAATGCACTACACTTCACTGCACTCAGCATAAAGCGTGAACAACATCCGCATTTTCAACACTAATTCAGTCAAGTCAGTGCTTTTCTCTGGTGGTTGACAGACTTGGTGACGCCTTACGAAAAGCATTTCCAACAAACAACTGTGCACATACATTATCAACAGCTAACACCTACACTCGCTCCATACTAACACTAAAGATCAGATAGATAGATGGCCAGCATGATAAGAATAAGCAACGAGGAACTCACCCTAGCTGACCTGGCAACGAATCAACCAACGAACCAACAACCCATCACCCAACAAATATGCAGTAGAAGAAAGTGGATTTGGATTGGAGATACTCTGAGAAGACGGTTTTGGGGACATCACGCGTCAGGCCAGGCCAGGCCAGACCAGACGAGGCCCTGGATTGGAAGGCGAAGGTGGAACGACGAGTTGGGTGTCCGAGGTGAGGGTGACATGGAGGAGATCGTGTGAAGCAGGAGTGAAAGCTTGTGAGTAGTTGTCGAGCCATGTTGAAAATGCTTCAGAGAAGAGAGTGAAATGGCGATGTACGATTGAAGCCTTATGTTCCACTAGGAACCTAAGGGATAAATGAAATATTTATAATGAAACTTTAACAAAAACGAAAACGAACTGCAGTAGATTCATCTCAGTTAGAAACCAAGAAAACCAATTTATAGTAGTCTCACAAAAAGACAACTACTGATGGCACTTAATCCGTAGTTCCTTATCTAGTTCATCACCAACTACGAAGTCATTCACTTGGGTTAACAAACATATAATTCCACAATAAGTGGAGAATATGCGAAAGATAACCACCTGACTATCTAACCCGTTTTGAATTCGTGTTGCTCACGAACTCATAAATTCTCTCGAAACCCCATTATCCAGTTAAACAAACCCACGGAATGTCATTTACGAAAACAAATGTAGCAAGTGTGATGAACAGTGCAATGGACAAAACGGCTACCCCGTCTGTGTTTGTGTGACGAAATTTTACCTTTCTTATCAATCTATGTAGAAAATTGTGAAAATGAATTGTATTTTGAAAGTGTAGACATGTTTGACATATGAAACAGAAAGAGTGTCGAAAATTCCTAGACGATTGGCAGTCAAGTCAGTTATCCGTCAGCAGTTACTTTGAAGAAGAAGAAGAACTTTAATTGTATCTAATACTGATGATGATTGCGATTGAAATGAAAAATTTGATTTATTCTATGTACATGTATTATTATTATTATTATTATTATATTAGTCCTTGGGTTCCTAACTGAATATAGGGCTTCAGTAGCACGTCTTCATTCCACTCTATTCTCCACAATCTTTTGAACCTGATTCCAAGACAGCCCACAAGCTCTCATTTCCTCCTCGCTAGATCTCCTCCATGTCACCCTCACTTTGGACGCCCAACTCGTCGCTACCCATGCGGATTCCACTCAAGGGCCTGACGCGTGATGTCCCCAGTCGGCCTTCTCAGTGTATACCCAATCCAATCCATCTCCACTTCCTCCTGCATATTTGTTGAGCGATAGGTTCTTGGTTGGTTTATCACCAACCAGAGTTCCTTGTTGCTTATTCTTTCTGGCAGTCCATCTGATCTTCAATAACGAACCAGTGTAGGCAGTTGTTGATGAAAGTCTGTAGTTTATTGGAAATGCCTTTTGTAACGCGCCAAGTCTCTGAACCACACAGAAGCACTGACTTGACGTTGGTGTTGAAAATCCGGATGTTATTCACGCTTTATGCTGAGTGCAGAAGATCTCTAC